CACGCATGCCAGGCGAGCGCGCTACCGCTTGAGCCACATCCCCAGCCCATCTATGTTGCCTCTTGATGGACACAAAAGATGCAGTAAAGGTGGGTTGTGGTGGGGCTGCTCCTGGTGTCACAAGGCAAATTGCTTTTCAGTATATTTTTTTTATAAGGTAAAAAGGCTACACTCTAATGATCAAAAGTGAAGCGTAGTAAATATCTAAATAGTAGCACAGTTGCTCACTATTCATTGAGTATTGATGTACTCACAACTGCACATGTTCTACTTTTACACCACTGGCCATGGCAGGTTTATTTACACTAGCACTGCCATGCATGCGTAGTGTGTTGCACTAGCATGTTGAACCATTAGGCGATAGGTTTCCAGATCCCTTTTGTGCATTCTGTGTGACCATGCTTGAGTGATCTGTGTGGCCATGCTTATGTGGCCCACAGATGTTCTCAGGGTCTCTAGTTTGCAGCAGTAGGGTTGGTCTGAAGAACCCAGCCTGGCCAGGCACAGTGGCACCTGCCGTATTGACAGATGCCAGGCAACTCAGGAGGCTGAGTCAAGAGGATTGCAAGTTTGAGGCCAGCCTCAGCAACTTTTATTAAGCCCTAAGCAATCACTAAAACCCTGTCTCAAAATGGGGATGTGGCTCAGTGGTTTAGCACCCCTGGGTTCAATCCCTGGTTCCAAAAACAAAAACAAACAATCCCAGCCTCCTGGCATAAGCAGAAAAGGATGCCTATACTGTGCCCCACCTCAACCTGTTCTCTGCCTTCCTTTCCCTCAGCCTCCTCCACAAAACCCTGGATAAGATGCTGAGATCAAGTCTCTGTTGAAAGAGAGGTGAATTGTTGAGTGGGAGGAGATGGGCATTTCCTGAGCAGGCAAAGTGGGGGCTCCTGAGGACAACTGTCAGCATCCCCCTGGGGAGCCTGTGACACACCTGGTGGTCACTGCACAGGGTTTCCAACGTGGCCTCAGGAAGGGTTTTTCTAGTTCTTCTCTAAGGCAAAGGGATTCTGGCACCTCCCATTTCTCTCACTCTCCCTCTGTGGCCCTGGCCTGTAGCCTTCCTCCTCCTTCCAATGCCAGCTCAGCCTCTTGCTGTGGTGGAAACCTGGAGGGTTTGGCCAAGCCCACCCTGTGTCTCAAAGCAAGCCACACAGCTGGCTCTCACCCAGGTGCAGCTTTCCAGAACCTATTAAATGCCATTTCCTGCCCATTCTGCCAGTCTTGCCAGGGTTGGCAGGTTTCCTCAGGCCCTCATTGTTGTCTCATTGCCAGTTTGGTCTTCCTTGTGTTGAATAGCCATGACCTGCTTGTGTGGATTGTGAAATCTAGTGACAAATGAGGAAGGAAAAGGCTGGTGTTCAGGRCCTGCCTAACACTCCCTCCGCTCACAAGCCCCCACCCCTCTAAGGGGCCACTTCAGGCTCAGGGGACTATGTAGACAAACCTGGAGACAAGGTGTGGGTCAAGGCTGTGCATGGGGCTGAGCAGTGGACCCTGGTGAAGGTAGTCATCTACAGCCACGTCACCAGCAAGTGGGTGGCCACGCCCACCCCCAGGCTGTGCTCTCCTCACCACACCCACTTCAGCTGCCACCTTTCCACCAGTGTACAAAATGGGACAAGAGCTTCCCCAGAGAGTGGCAGCAGGGTAGKGCTGGAGGCACCAGGCCCCTGCAGCCACTTTGCCACTCCTGGATCTCCTCCTCCTCTTGCCGGCTACCTGGCCTGCAGTGGACACCTGGCTACCTTCAGAGTTCTCCTCCTGCTCCCTTGCGGGTGTGATATAGATGGCATTGATGAAGAAAGCAGAGAGTCTACGAGGGAGTTGGCAACCAGGCTCTTGGCAAAGAAAAAAGTTCTCTCACCCACCATGAACTGATTGGGTTGATCCCTGGGAGACTCACCCTGAGCCACCACTACATCATCCCACTGCCCCGGCAGAAAGGTAACCCTGAGATGGACTCCAAGGACTTACCCAAAGGAACGGCTGGTGCTGGCCCTGCATCCCCTGACCACCTACTTGTACTGTGCCCTGATTCACACACCCCCTTCAGAGGGTACGGCAGCCTCCACCAAAAGGGTGTTCGTGACACAGGGACACCAGATAGAGTATGGGGTCATCTTCCCAAGTCCTTCCCTTTTCTCCTGTCATGGTCTCAGAGCTTGAACAACCCACATCTGCCCACTGATCTCCTCCTGCCCAGCCTGGGCGCCTTAGCAGTCCCAAGGGAGCAGGCTGCTCTGCTCTCCTGTCCATCCTCACTTTGACAGCTAGAGCTGGACACATGTCCCGTTGTCTCCTGACTCCCATTCCCCCACCCCCAACTCTTGTTCACCCTGACATATGTGACCAGGGTCAATTGTAACCTAATGCAGCCTAAAGGCTGTTCCCCACTGTACCTCCAAGTCACCTGCCTGCTGCCCTCTGAGTTCTTTTATCTTCTTAACACAGGGATCCTGAATGGAATCAGACCCCTTGCCCTTTCTAGTCTGACCCTGTGCGAAATGAGTCTCCCTTCTTCTTCCTGCTCTTTGTTCCCTGTCCTAAKCCCCCTTCATTACTGAGGACCAGCTCTAGAGCAATACAGACCTCTTGACTCCAGAGTAGAAGACGAGGACAGGAGAGGCTGGGAGCTTGGGGGTTCCTGCTGCTCTAGTGCTCCAGACCAGGAGGATAATRGCCCTCTTCCCTTTCCTTAATGTGGCCCAGAGGTACATGGTGACTTGTAAGGAACCCAAGAAAATGTGAAGCTACCAGGCATGATGGCACATGCTAGTAAGCCCAGCCACTCACAAAGATAAGGCAGGAGGATTGCAAGTTTGGATCCAGCCTTAGCAACTTAGCAAGAACGTGTTTCAAAATAAAAGGGCTGAGGGGTAGAGCACTCCTGAGTTCAATCCCCAGTACAAAAATAAGTGAAGCTGGCTGGCAGACGGGAGGTCTGCTGTTGCTAGCCTCATGGGAGAAAGCAACAGGATTTTCTATGATCAAATAAATATTCTTCCCCCTTATCCATGTCTCTGGGCCTTCCTTCTGTAGACCTCCTTTCCCTGCCCAGACAGGGCATGTGGGTGCTGAGGGTGCCAGGGGCAGGGCCCTACTTGGCCCCAGTGGGATTTAGTTAGTGTCAGGTGTCCTCCTGCTTCCARCAGAGCCTCTTGTTGGACACATCATATTTTATTCTTGAGGTCATGGGTCAGGCTTATGCCCACGCTCCCCCTGCAGTGGCTCCCCACGACACCACTCAGAGCTGCCAGCAGAAGTTGAGCTTGCAACCTGCCATCTTCTCAGCATAGTGGGCATCAAAGCGTTCATTCTGGGCCACAGTGAAGATGGATTTCCAGTCCCCTGTCACGCCTAGGGAAAGAAAGAAGGAGGCCTGAGTCACACCCACACAGGTGACCCCAAATGGAGGCTGTTTCCACACTCCCTTCTCCAGACACATACCTTTCCTCATGAAGGCAGAAATACTGTGGTCCATTATCTCAGTTGGTATGGTGCTGTAGTTAGTCATGGGATTCTTCTTCATCTCCTTGAAGGATGTGTGCTGGACGATGTGATCCACCGTCTCCTCTGACAGGGAGCGCCCCAGAAACTCCAGGATCTTTCTAATCTCCCTTTTGGGGTTCTGAAGCAAGATACAGGTTCTTCAGAGGGGGTTTGGATTACTTATGGTGTAAACACAAGGGAAGTCCCCTCTCTGGTGTCACAAGCAAGGAGCTGGCCCCTTCCACTTGGAAACCTCCCAGCCCTAACTCTTCACTCTGGGCCTCTTTCCCTGGAGCAAAAAGACTAGCTCTCAGCCTTAGGGTCCTGGAGTGAGCCCTGCTTGGTRCCTTAGGAGAGAGGGCAGGGACAGTCTTTTAGAACTGTGGCCCCAGGTGTGGCGCAGCCCTGGACAGGGAGACATGAAAACAACAAACAGCTCATCTGATCCAGGCACTAGGAGAGAGGGCTGAGCTGGGCTGGCTCTGTGGTTCCAGGCCAGAAAGGCAGTGTGGGCAATCCTGGGCTGGGTGGGCCAGCCAAAGGGGAGGGTCCTGGGCCTTGTCAGGTCCCCTGAGGTTCCTGCCCCCTGGGTGGGACATAGATGGAGTGGTAGCGGGGAGAATCTCACCTCCTTCAGGTCTTCATAGAAGAGGTAGAGCACCGGGTGGGTGCGGCTCAGCTCCCACCACTCCTGCACGTGCTGGTACCACGACCCATAGGACACTGGGAAAGGGGATGCCACCCAATTGGTCTGAGCTTTTTTAAATATTTTTAGTTGTAGATGGACACAAGACCTTTATTTTATTTATTTTTTATGTGGTGCTAAGAATCAAATCCAGTGTCTCACATGTGCTAGGCAAGTACTCTACCACTGAGCCACAACTCCAGCCCTGTTATAAGTTTTAGGTGGGCTTCCTAAACTCCAGCCCTCTCCTTCCTCCAGGTTGGGGGCCCACCTTGTCCGTCCATGAACTTCTCYAAGAAGCTGTCCCAGGTGCCAGGGTCAGGGTGCACCTTGGCCATTTTGTAGAAGTTGTAATAGGAGACAGCCACGTCCTTTGCATTGCGGGCAACATAGATCATCTGCAGGGACACACGACACCCACTGCCAGCTACACCACCCCACACACACACCCCAGGACTGCCTGCCCCCCTGGTGCCTGTCCCCCTCACAGCACCCCTGTGGGGGGTCCCCTATCAGCTTGACAAGGGAACAAGCTGAGGCCTTGAGGCCAACTTGCTGGAGACCTCAGGGATGGCTATGGCAGCTGGGATCTGAACTCAGCTTTGATGGGAGACTCCTGGCTGGTCCATGGAGCTGTACTTCATCCTAATCTGACCCCTGGGATTCCACCACACACCCTGATGGAGAACAAGGCAGGCAGGGACCCTCCAGCCCCTCTGTGAGCCTCTGAGCACCAGGTTCCCCTGCCCTCGGGTCTGCACTGAAGAGTGTCGCTCTCCTCCTCGTCTTGGCTCTGCCACAGTAAGAGCAGGTGGCCTTCCCACTTGTGCAGAGACAAAGCTTGAAGAGACTTTCCCTGCAGAACAGGACCAAAGCTGGAATGGCCTAGTGGCCTCCACTGCCACTCACCTTGACCTTCTGATCCAACAGACTCTGGGGAATCAGGCCTACGGGCAAGTGTGTCTTGAGGAGCCGAGGGGCAGGTGTATCTTTCAAAGTTTCCAGACCTAAGGTGTGGGCAAGGGAACTTGTGGTGAGCTGGAGCCCAGTCTTCCTAATACCACTGCCCCAGCACCCTGCTACTCACCTGAGGGAACCCCTGGGCCCTTGAACTCAAGGAAGGGCACCCGTACAAAGATGGGGGCCCGATGACACTTCTCTAGGTCACCACTCTGGTAGATCATGTCCACTATCTCGCTTACCCATGTGGTACCTGTAAGAGGGAAGAAAACCCTGTGATCAGGGTGGAGGGCCTGGTCCTGCTGACCAAGGTCAGGGTTGCAGCCCCAATGGGGGAGCAGGGTGGCCCTCCTCACTTACCAGACTTGGGGTAGGTGCTGATGAGCAAGTCATCGGGCCAGGCCTGGAAGCTCTGAAGTGGCYCCACCATCTCTGCAAAGTACTTGATGAGCGGGACCCCCTTCACMYTGACYAGTGGAGGGCGRGAGGTGTCCKRGACCAGCTCCATGCTGCTGAGTCAGGGGCCAGCACCTGCTCTGCTTCTCTGAATCCCTTCACAAAACAGCATTTGCTGAATGGTTACTTTGAGATACTGAAGCTTCAGGAGGTCCTATGATTTGCCCAAGCTCATTAAGCTAGTAAGTGGCAGTTGGGRCTGGAAATGAGGTGTAACTCCAATACAGTGGTTCACAGGTCATGCTACACCTTCTTCTTACCTGCAGAACTTTCCATAACCCCAGTGCCCAGCCACAGCCCAGAACAATGTAAGCAATTCTAGGGCTGAAGTCCTGATACTTGAGTTTGGAAGCATTCCAGCATGCATTTCGAAATACTATTGTGGCCTGCCCATTCTAACTTCTTACCCGTAGGCTTTTTCTGTTAGTACATCCTGCCTAAATCTAATGGGCTCCTCTTCATGCTACTCCCCTTTTTTGAGCTCCTTGGGCCCTTCATATTCAAAAACACCCCAGGCCAGTTGACCTGGGATCCCACTTGCCCACCCAAGCTCCATCTTGCTTCCAGAACCAACCCAGGTAATCGGGTAACAGAACTTGCCTCAGGGCCAGTCTTTTATGAAAATGAGTAAAATTCAATGACGCCGCAGATGAGGGCAGGGAGACTGTCCAGGCTGGAGTTCCCCTCTTGAGGTGGAAAGAACAGGGAGGCAGAGGTTTCTGTCGAGTGATAAAAGAGGTGCCTAATCAAGCACTAAGAACTGGCCAGCACTTGGAAGATGTTGGAGTCAACACCTGGGCAGGGCAAGGGTGGTCTGGCCCAGTCAACCCCAATCTGGACTTACTTGATCTCTCAGTCTCCTGGCCTTGTGGCTTCCTGGGCATGCAGTGGCTCTGTGTTGGTGCTATGTGGGGATCACAGAGCTTCTCTCTGAGCTAAAGGTTTTCTAGTTTCAAAATGAGGAGCAAACGCTGGGACTGGCTGTCCTCCCAGAATTCAGGGTGAGGTTTCAGGCAGGGGGAAGTCAGTGTTACCCTGTTAGCATCAAGCTGGAACTGGCTGTCCTCCAGAGAGGAAAGGGTGAGGTCTGGGATGAGGGACCTCTTGCTAAGAACTATCTGAAACTCAAGATGTGGGTTTACCATATAGCAAACAAACAAAGTGAAATGAGGAGAAAGGGCCCCCTGGGATGGATGTTTTTTCAGCTGTAATCTGGTCCTAATCTCCTTCCCTTCACAGTTGGGCAACAGTCAGCTTTTTCTAACTGACCAAGTCAAGGGAGGAAAGGGGAGAGAAAAGATGGGGTGCAGGGCCACTCACCTTTCTTCCGGCTCCAGGCCAATCTCAAGACACCACAGGCTCAGACCAGAGCAGCCACAGGCATTCCAGAACTGCAGGCTCTAACAACAGGGCAAGTCTAGAATACTGGGTGGGCAGGGCCAAAGGACTGGGGGCGGAGCAGAGCAAGGAGGGCTGTTTTTGAGGCAGCATGAGATAGGAAAGACAAGGACGCCAGAGCCTACTAGTTCTGGAGGGAACCCCTGCTTCATGGCTCCTGTGGGACCTCAGGAACATGGCTCATGGCTGATGGAGCTTGAAGGGGGCTCCAGGGACAGATGGACATGAAGAGATTAGGCTAGAGAGCCACAGAGATCCGTGTAAGGGAACTCCCCACCTCCTCCTCAGCCTTTCTCTTGCTGTTTGCATTAAAATCCAGGGCTTACTCACTAAAGATGCATCGCCTAAAGCATAAAGTGATTTCCTAGTAGCATACTACTTAAACCAGGAGCAAGAAGAGCCGCTTGCTCAGTGTGATCTTGAAGAACATGGTTTTGAAAGTAACTTCTCTGTTCAAATCCCTGTAATCTCACAAGTCTCCTTGACACAGAATTGAGAAAGCACTGTACCTTTGGGGTCTCTTGGAAGATTGCCAGAAAAGGAGGAAGAAGTATCAGAGCAGCCAAAGACCAGTGCTTGTACTGAGGCTACCAGAGATGACCGCCCCACCCCACCAAAAAAAAAAAAAAAAAAAAAAAAATCAGAGCTGTCTTCTAAAACTATTGTGTAATTTTGTGATTTGGCTTCATTTTGGTTTTTGGAAAGTACCAGTGCTTGGTCTTGTACATTTAAAGTTAATTTTTTTAACAAGAAAGAGTTTGAGAAAGAACTTTTCATTTCATAAGCCCTGTGACTAATGTTTTATTTTTCATAACTGAGAGATTGCTTCTGTAAGTACACAGCCATGTTGAAAATGTTCACCATGATGTTGAAATAGTATAGGAACTATAAGACTTAAGGAGAACCAGTTGATTTAAAATATATACCAGTTTTCCCTTCTATTGTTAAAAGTAGGCTGACAACAGATCATTAGGTAAAGAAGAAATCAGATGACTATGGACTTTCCTGAGATAAAAGGATCCTTGAGAAACAAATTACTACATAGAATTTGACAAATGGCTCAAGTGAATGTTTACTTCTAAACACAGGATGTTCTAAAGCCTATTGTTTGGAGTATTTATGTTAAGCTTTCTCAAAAATTATTATCTTTTGAAATCCAGCATACTCTTTTTTTTAAGCTTTGTTGTTTCAATTTTTTTTGCTTTATTTTTACTATTTTTTTGTTTTATTTCTTAACTTGTTCTAATTAGTTATACATGACAGTAGAATGCATTTTGACATATTGAAGCTTCGTCATTTCTATTATGATTTTTCATGGTGAAAATCTGGTATTAGGTAGGCATTCTCTGTACCTGTATAGAACCACTCCAAAGGCAAAGAACCATGACTAAGAAAAGTTAGATATCAGGAATGTAGACTGAAGCATGTAAATCCCCATATCATAGAAACTATTTTGATACTGCTTTTCTAATTAAAATTCATGTCTGCCTGGTTTTTGAATGTTAATGCCTGGCTCACTAGTCATTGCCTCAATCAGTTTCCTTCTTGCCTCATCAACAATACTTTCTGTTGCATACACTGGTATGCTACCATATAGAGGGAAAAATATATTAGAGATAGTCTATGTTTTATATATAGGTTTATGTGTTAGTGGGGATGTTTCTACTGTGCTGTTTATACAAAATAAAGAATTCTATGTTGAGGCAAAAAAAAAAATTCAGTCTATCTGGACACGGGAGGTCAGGAGGCTCGGAGTCGTGGATGTGAATGTGCGCTGTATGTTCTCTGTGCCAAGCCGGGCAAAGTCTCCAAGCAGGRGAGACGCTGGACACATGGTTGAGCCAACAGGCTCTCCTCCCATTTCTGTTCCCCTCACCCAGACCTCCCCACAGACATCAGAAGTTACCCTTAACTCAAAATATTTTATTGTATTCAAATAAAAATTGTCCAGTATGGTTGGTGGCCACTGGGGGACAGAAAAATCATAGGATCAGGGTTGGGGAGGCTGAGGATCAGGTGTCCAGCATGTCTGTCCAGTGTTCCTATGGAGATAAGAGCTTAGTCAAAAGCAGCCTAGGGGATGGAGGTGGATGAAGCGAGTGGGGGCCAGAATCACCTCTCACCTCTTCTAATTCTGAGCCATCCTCTTCCTCCTCAGTGCCCATCCGGCACAGCCGGATCAGGTCTCCCCAAAGCAGTGAGTTCTCACAGCTGCCAAGGGTGCAGTTGGTAGGAGATGATACAGAGTCAAGCCTCACAAGCCCCCTGCAGCCCTGGCCCTGGGTCGCCAAGGAATCATCTGCCCCAGCCTGGACTGGACCACTGGGCACCCTCTCCCCAGAGCTAGGCCAGGCTGAGAAACAGGACAGCACTCACCTAGGACATTGGCCCTCTAGGGGCAGAAGCTGCCCTGGCTCTTCCTGAAGGAACTCCTCTGCCAGGCAGATCACATGGGTCTTTAGGGGACAGCCAGGGTGAGGGCAACACAGGGGACTGTCTTCGTCCTGTCAGAGGTAGCAATGGAAGGAAAGGAAGACTGGAAATAAGCTATTTATTATTGAGAGATCAGAAGCCAGGCCTCCATCTGTTAACTTGTTAAGTATTGATTGATCACCTACTCTGTGCTAAGTGAGTGAATAAGAGTTGCCCTCCTGGAGTTTAGTGTGAAGAGTGGGGAAGCTGATTAGGAAATAATAAAATATAGCATGTGAGACAATAATAAGAATTAAGGGCAAAAGTAGGCCCTACAAGGTGGCCAACACCTGTAATCCAAGTAACTAGGAGGCTGAGGTAGGGGGACAGATCACATGTACTTAGCCCATCTAGACAACTTTGGGAGACTGTGTCTCCCACAATTAAAAAAAAAAAAAAAACAGAAAGGGCTGGGGATGTATTGGGTTTAATCCACTATACCATAACAAATAAATAAAAAGGGGGGAAAAAAGGACTTAAGAGCTTTTTTTGTTTGTTTCTGGTTTTGGTACCAGGGATTGAACCCAGAGGGGCTTAATACTGAGCCACATCCCTAGCCTTTTTTTTTTTATCTTTATTTTTATTTATTTRCTTTTATGTGGTGCTGAGGATCGAACCCAGGGCTTCATGCATGAAAGRTAAGCACTCTACCACTGAGCCACAACCCCAGCCCCCTAGCCCTTTTTAAGACAGAGTCTTGCTAAATTGCTGAGGCTAGTTTTAACTTGCAATCCTCCTGCCTCAGCCTCCGGAGCTGCTGGGATTACAGGTGTGCACCATTGCGTCCAGCTCAGAAAAAGCTATAATTTTAGATGGAGAGGAAAGGCCTCACTGAGTTGGTGGCACATGGTCAACTCTGAAGGTCTAGAACTGCACTTTCCACTCAAAGGGAAATGACCAGGGCCCTAGATTAGTAGTGAGGGGTCCAGGAACCATGCACATACTTTGCGTGGCAGAGCTGCCAATCAACRCATCAGTTGCGTGACTGTTCAACAAACGTCTTGACCTCAAACCTTCTGAACCCTAGTCCTGCCCCTACTTGGCACGGATCTCACCTCAAGGGTGCGGGCGCAGAGAGTGCAACAGGATTGTGCGCCCGGGTCCTTTTCACGCTCCCTGTCTACAACAGGCCCAGCGCAGCGCTTCGGAAGCTGGGCCMGGGGAGGCGGCGGGCCGAAGGCCAGTGGCACATGTGGTGGCGGGGGAGGGCAGAGATCCTGGCGGAAGTCCTGGCGCAACCAGCGCAGTGTGAGCGGGAGACGCGCCCAGGGTGGCGCGCGCAGCATGTGCGCAAGCACTCGAAGGTGGAAGGCGAAGGTTGCCTCGCCTCGCAAGCGCGGCCCCACGTGTGACAGGCGACGCGAGGCTTGCGGGTGCTGCCAGGCCCACTCGAACTGCGGGCGGGAAAGACAAGAGCGTTGGGGCGGCCGAGACTGCAGTCGCATAGTGACATTGAGAGCTCACTCATCTGTCCACCACCCAACTGTCTTTCTTACCCGAAGGGCGGCCACCGCAGATGGGAAGCCGTGCACGATAAGCACCATCTCCCTGGGGAGGAAAACAAGCGCGCGGCCTGTGAGCCCCCAACCCACACACACCCTACGTGATGCCGAATCCCTAACCATTGTACGCTTCCAGTCCCACCAAGGGTCATCCTCACAGGAGCTTCAAGCCTAGCGACGAGGCTCCCCTGCCTTCGTGCAGATACGTGCCCTCACACCTGCCAACCTCAGGCCCCTCTGCCAGTCGCAAGGACTTAACAGTCCTACAGTCCTTGGGTCCTCTCTCTCTCTCTCTCTCTCTTTCTATCTATCTCTCTCTTCTCTCTCTCTTCCTCTCTCTCTCTCTCTCTCTCTCTCTCTCTCTCTCTCTCTCTCTCTCTCTCTCTTCCCCCCCCCCCATCTGTTCTGTCTCAGAACTTGCTCACCAAGTCCCGGACCACTTAGCAGCCAAGTCCTTGACCCCCAGATGCACCGGGCTCGGTCTCCCGGCCCCTCCCTTCGGGGTAGCCCCACCCAGTTACTGGGCCTGCCCGCCACCACAGGCCTGCCCCGCCCCTATTATCCTGCCTCTGCCCAGCCGGGTCTTCTTCCTCCCAGGAGCCAGCCCTGGGACCCGCCGCCCTACCAGGGCCCTCTCCCGCTGGTCCTCCAGGCCCCGCCTTTTTTGCGACCGCCGTTATGCTGCAGGACCCGACGAGCGGGGTTGACCGTGAACCCCACGTAGACGCGGCCCCGATGCCGAGGGTTCAGGCAGTAGAGCAGGTAGACRCCGAAGAAACGCTCCGGCCTTGCTTCGCTCCCCGTGGGACCCATCGGGACGTTGTAGGTCAGGGGCCGAAGCTGGGGGTGAGTTCTGTAACCGCGAACCACGGGGAGGGCTGGGTAGCTAGGACTACAACATGCTTGTTTCGGCGACAGCGAGGCACCTTTGAGCCCGCCAACAGTATGGGTTCGTGCACCGTCTCCGAGCTGGAGCTCGGTGCCAACACCTGGCTACAAAACCCAGACCTCTTTGCAGACTGCTAGAGCCAACCAATGAGCGTGCGCTCAGGGAGGGTCGGTCGTCCSGCAGACTCTGATTGGCTAACAGATGGTAAGCGCGAAAACCCTTGACTGTTGGCATTTCACCCGAGTCTGAGGGCGGAAGTGCTGCGTTTAAGGACGCCCTASTGGGGGCGGAAGTAGATTTCTTACCGGAAGTGGCTCCACTAAGGGCGGAAGGCACCGAGGCCGGTCCTAGGGGGGTTTCTGTCCCCGCCGGGCTGCCGCGATGGAACTCAGCGCAGACTACCTCCGGGAGAAGCTGCAGCGGGACCTGGAGGCGGAGCACGTGGTGAGTTGAGTCGTCTGAACCCTCCCCAAGAGAGAAAAGGAGGCCTGGAAGCGGGTTGGGCATGAACCCCATCCTTCTGCCCGGTAGGAGGTGGAGGACACGACTCCTGGCCGTTGCGCGACCAGCTTCCGAGTCCTGGTGGTGTCGGCTAAGTTCGAAGGGAAGCCACTGCTTCATAGACATCGGTAAGTGCAGAAACTGTTCCTTGAGCGCGGCCCCAGTTCCAGGACCACAACCCTAGCCACTCCCCCATTCCCATTTATCTAACCCCTACCCCAGCAACGTGGCCCATGACCCCTGGAGCTCCTCGGGGACCGCCACCCAGGCGTCAGCCTGCCGTTTCTCAACTCCAGGCTGGTGAATGCGTCCCTAGCAGAAGAGCTCCCGCACATCCATGCCTTTGAGCAGAAAACTTTGACTCCAGACCAGTGGGCTCGTGAGCAGCAGAAATGAGGGACCGATGCCTGCGCAGCATTAAATGACAAATCAGGGCCAGCTTCTGTGTCTGTGTGTTGTGTGTGGCAGGGGCTCTGAAGCTGAGTGTACTGCTTGGCTTCTGTCTGCCTTGCTTCGATTCAAGTTCCGCTCCCCATGTAGCCTCTGTGTCCAGCTTGTAAAATGAAATTCTGTCCTTAGGTCCCTTCCAGAGTCTGCCTTGCAAACCTTTCTTGTAGACCCCTAAGAATCTGTATTGCCACTCCCCACCCAATCATGCCTGGGAATTCTACCTGCTGAGGAGACTGAAGCAGGATAATTACAAGTTCAGGGGCAGCCTGGTCCACTTAGTAAGACCCTATTTCAAAATAAAATAAAAGCTGGGCATATGCTCAGTGCCTACCTAGCGTTGTGGAAGGCCCTAGGTTCAATCCCTAGTTCTGCAAATATTAGTAAAAATTCAGAGATGAGAAAGTGTTCAGGATTTGAGAACCCTGATGAGCTGAACAAAATGGTCTTTCTCCCCAGCTTCACCGCAATATCTGAAGCATCCCCCTCAGACCCCCTCAGCCCTTCACAAACCTCAAGGGAAGTGAGGCTAAGCTGGGGGCTCTTCACCAGCTGGTGTGCTGATATTTTGTGGCCCCCTTCTGGAAGAAGTCCCACCAGCTTCATAGCCCTGGACTTGAGTATCCACAGGTAACCTGTGAGAACCATGAATTTTTCAGGAATGTGGGATGTGCTTAGGACATAGGGATAGAGCAGGAAAATAGGGCACAAAACTGGGGAAGGTACATCTGTAAAAGTCTTAACCATGGGTTGGCAGGACCTTGTACAGTGTTTTCTGAGACTCRGGAGGGACACCAAGTGAACCATTTGGACCCAAGTCTCTTTAAGAGTGAGAAATGAGATGTTTCACACATCTCACCCACTTTGTTACCTGTGTTTTTGAAGCTAGTTTTTTAGTCCGTCAATTTCCTCTATCCCCTATGTTCCTCTCTTGCTTCTCTCTGGGAGAGAATGGGCTGGTAGAGCTGAGTCATGATGGTTACAGACAACCTTTCTGGATCCAAAGGATCATTTCCTGAAAATTTTTAAGTTCTCCTGAACCAAAACTAGTGAGTCTACTCATGAGAACTCCAGAAGGGCCCATCATCCCCATAGTGCAACAGAAATGCAGAGAAGRAGTGTCACTCCTTTAAGAGGCCCAGCCTCCAGCCATGCTGGGATCTACCATTACATTCGCCCAGCTGTGATGGTTGCCCTTCCATGATTCCCCCCTAAGGCCTGGAGAGGTGACTTGTGCAGGGTCACGCGGCTTACATAGACTGAAGACCTGAGTATGCAGACAGGAACATTTGTACATTGGTACCCAGCAGTCTCTACCCTGATAGCTTTCTTCTGTGACATGCTGATGACATGGGGGCTGGGAATGAGCTTTTGTTGTCTTTGCAGGATATGAACCAAGTTCTGTTGTGGCCAAGACACCCATTCCAAACAGCCCTGTGTCATCCTGGTTCAGTGGGCATCATCCACTAAATTGAATTGGGCATCAAAACCTATTCCCAAGTCCTCTCTTTATATTTGTATTTGTTTGCATGCTAGGGATTGAACCCAGGGACACTTTACCACTGAGCTTCATTCCCAGGCCTTCTTATTTTTTGTTTTTGGTAAGTTGCCCAGACTGGCCTTGAACTTGCAGTCTTCCTGCCTCAGCCTCCCAAGTGGCTGGGATTATAGTCGTGTACTTCTGCACCTGGCCCCAAACCTTTTTTTTTTTTTTTTGTACCAGGAATTGAACCCAGGGGTGCTTTACCACTGAGCCACATTCCCAGCAATTTATTTATTTTTGAGACAGGGTTTCACTAAGTTGCTTAGAGCCTTACTAAGTTGCCGAGGCTGGTCTCAAACTTGCAATCCTCCTGCTTCTAGCATTCCAAGTTGCTGGGATTACAGGCATGCACCACCATGCCCAGCCCTAAGCCCCCTCTTGGTAGGGTCCTACAGACCTATTCCTGCCAGGTCCCCCTTTCACAGAAGCCACACCCCAACAGAACCCACAGAAAGGGCCTCAAGAGGTAGTAGTGCTATAAGGGGAATTTCTGAWCAAAAATGGAGATTTAGATTGTCACAATCTGATATCTAAACTCTTTCCTTACAGAAAGCCTTGCTATTTTTATCCTTTGAGTTTGCAGTTTGAAAGATGACCAGTGCACAGTGCTCACTGGATCATGTCCCCACAAGCAGCAGTGTCAGTACAGTCCTGAGCAACCTGGTGTTTTGGTTGACTAGGCACAGCAGAATTGAGGTAAACATGGGAATTTCTGATGTCGGGAGCCGCTCTGGAAATACATACCCTTAAGTCCTGAGCAAGAGATACTGAACAATTATTGTGCCCCACAATAACTTGGGCTTTACCTCYGCTCAGATACCCCCAGCAAGGGCCTGCCAGTTCTGAGAAGGAATTGGGAAACAAAGAGCAAGCTCCCAACCCACATCAACATGGGTGGGTTCCTCCAACAGCCTGTGCTGTAGGGTATTCAGAGAGGGACCCCCGCCCCCCCCCCACAGCCCTGATGGGGACAGTTCCATCAGGGATGCTAAGGGGGAAGCTCAAAGGTAGGTTAGTTTATCAGGCCCAGCATCCCAGGTAAGCAGTCATCAGAGTCTGGAGAAGTACAAGAAAATAAAGCCATTTTATTATTGTTTCTTCTTTGCCATGATAGCCTGAGGCCTGGGTGGGAATGGAGGGCTGTGAGTGGCCTCCCCCGGCTGAAGGCCTTGTGCCCTCTACTTGGCCTGGACTGTCTCCTCCAGCCTGTCCAGGCGCTTCTGCAGCTCCTGCACTGTGGTCTGCAGCTTCTTTATCTCCTCCTCCAGCCGGGACACAGCATCCTGGGTAATCCAGGCTAGATTAGGCTTAGCTCCTTCTGGTGTCCCCCATTAACCTGGCATCTGCTAAACCCCCTTCCAAGAATCCCAGAATTTGGGCCCTTCTGTCTGTCAGCCAGCTCCTGCCCAGAGAGTTGTAGGCCTGTAAACCCAAATCCTGTTTTTGTTTTGGTACCAGGGATTGAACACCGGGATGCTTAACCACATCCCAGCCCTTTTTTGTGTTTTATTTAGAGTCAGGGTCTTGCTGAGTTGTGCAGAGCCTCTCTAAATTGCTGAGGCTGGCTTTGAACTTGTAGTCCTCTTGCCTTAGCCTCTGAGCTGCTGAGATTACAGGTGTGTACCACCACACCCGGCTCCAAGTCCTGTTTTTTGAGGCCTCTGGATTACCCACTCCAAGCTGCCCCACCATTGTGACCTTGGAAAGCTCCAGACACCAGCCTGCTTCCCCTGGAGTACTGAGCACCTCCATGCAGCCCCTTCCCCACTTCACCATCTTCCCGTTCTGCCTCCCTGCCCGCCTCTCACCGAGCTGGGAATGCCACTGGCCTCCGGCGCTGCCCTCCTGCGTGTGCTGTCCAGGCCCCGATTGACCCGCAGCTCCCGACTTTTGGGGGGTACATAGCCGTCCTTGAGGGAAATGAGGAGGGGCCCAGCATCCTGACCCCCCAGCCACTCCTCAGCTGTGAGGGCAGGGTCAGGCCCTGCTGTGGGTGGGTACAGATCCTCCTGGAACAGGTCCGACTGTGGGCAAGGCCAGGGATGGTTATGGGAGTGCTAATGTCACCATACCACCCTCAAGCCCAAGAGGTCAGTGCCCAGTCTGGAGCCCAGGAAGGGACACGGGACCATCACCTTTCTAGGCACTGTCATGGCGATGGGCTCACACTTCCGCTCGTGCAGCTTGTAGAATCTGTGGAAACAGGAAGGTGAGCAGCGCCTGGAGCCTGCAAGTCAGCACTGCCCTGGGAGCAAGCCCCGATCAGGGGTGAGGGTCAGTCACCTGGCAATCTCACACTTGTTCACTTCCAGGCCACGTTTGGGCATGTAGCCCATGCCACGCTGGGACTCCTTGGAACTGAACATGGAAAGATAGTGCAGGAATGGGGCCTCAGAGGTGATCTCGAAGTAGCGGATAGAGCTGTCACCCTGCAGGTGGTACGTGCAAAGGGAGGGTCAGCGCCAACAGATGCCTCCAGTCCAGCTCCTCCAGGTCCTTCCTGCCCATCTGTCTGCCCCCAACCCCTCCTGGCTGAGCCACCTTGCCACAGAGGTAGACAATGTTGGTGTCAGGATCAAAGAAGGGCAGCAGGACTCCACTGCTTGTGTCCAGTTCCTGCAGGGACAGTGGCTCCTCCAAGTGCTTCTGTAGAGACAGGTGGGAGATAAGAACAGGCTGGGCCATGTCCGGTCCTGTGATGGTGATCCTCACTGGGCAGTGACCAGGTGAGGACCCTCCCAGACCAACTATTGGAAATTCCCATCTCAATTGGGTAAACTGAGGCCCAGGGCCATCTGGCCAGGCAAGTGGTAGGACAGGGACTCCAGCCTCGATTCCCAGCCCAGGTGCACGCTACTTCCCATCACGCACTTACTGTGTCCCACAGCGCCACCTGCCGCTCGCTCATGCGGCTGAAGCCCGTGGTCAGTATCTTTCCCTCTGATACAAACACGGCGTGCACAGGCCGAGTCCCCTCATGGGGACGGTCCTTCTCCTGCAAGGAGAGGGTGGTGGTAGGTCAGACACCCATCCACACACCCTAGCGAGCAGACCTAGGTGGGGACAGGGGAGTACAGTACCCTGGGGGGTACTGTGGATGGGGGTAGTGGGCTAATGGTCGMATGGTCAAGGGTCAGGGTTCATGGCAACTCACAGCTATGACAGTGCCTTTGCGTGGCTCAATGATGCGCACAYGCTTGTCACGGCAGGAGGTGCAGATGAGGGCACCATCGCGGCTCCAGTCCACGCTGTAGATTGTGTCCGGGTGCACATCTGGGCCCAGCGTCAGCACAGCTGCCCCAGTGCCCACATCCCACACCAGGATCACGTTGTCACAACCTGCATAATCCCGCCACCCCTGTGTCAGAAGCCATGAGCTTCCCACCACCTCTATGTCAGCCACCAGCCCYGCCCCCCATTTTCCCCTTTCTCCCAGCCCACGGCACCTGCACTGAGCAGTATATTCTGGGCTGTTGGGTGCCAGGCCACGATGCCCACACGCTTGGTGTGGCCCTCCAGGGTGACAACAGGCTCCCGCAAGGGCAGCGTCAGGCCACCATCAGGGATCTCCCATACCTGCAAAGAAGCGGTAMGTGAGTCTTTGGGGCTCCGAATGTTGGCTCCATCCTAGAGTCTTACCCAGCACCTGAGCACCCCCCACYGGCACTCACCATGACAGTGCAGTCCTCAGAACCACTGGCAATGACGTTGTCATTGTGTGGGCACCAGGCAATGTCCAGCACAGGGGCTGTGTGGCCACAGACTGTGGGCACGTTCTTGTCCACACGTCCAGT